TCAATACCGAGAGCTGCATCGTCGATCTGTTCTTCGGTGTCGAAGTTGACGAGAGGCTTGCCATCTTCCATACACCCCTGGACGACGGCTGAGCGCAAGTTCTTGGCAAGCATGGTGAGCTTGAAGGCGATCCTCTTGGAATCAATCGGCGACCAGTCCTTCGAGCTGATTTGAGCGATTATGAGCTTGAGGTCCCGCAGAAAACTCTTCCCATTCGTGTGAACCGGCTCCAACTCCTCGAGCAATCTGGGAGATGCTTTCGTAGAACTCGCAACGGTTGAAAGGTGGCATAGCGCATATCTCCACTTCCCCACCATACATTCTCGTCAGGAAGTTCTCCTCTGACTTACTGCAAATCTGCGCTATCTTGGAGTAAAACTCGTGCCTCAGGTCCTCGACGTCTGCTGCATCCACGTCCTTGATAGCCATGTAGAACAGACCCTTGAAGAGCTTCTCGTCCTGCTTAACCAAGCTCACTCCTGCCTGGAACCGATCGAACAGAGCCTCGGTTTCCTTATCAAGGTGGAAGTCCTGCACGTCAGCATGTCAGAAAGCTCGAAACAATGAAAGTCTCACTACAAAACTCACCTTTTTGTTGAAAACCGTGATGTTGCTGACTGCTGCATTAAGAATCGAGAGTAGCATGTCCTCTTGCTCGCTCCTCTCAAAACTTCCAAGTCCCTCGAAGTCGAGAATGACATATAAGCAATCCTCCGCCGTGCAAGTAGTCATCCACACACCGTCTGTGCATCGTCCCCCTGCTACATCCAGTAGAGAGCCACTGAGATGATTCAGGAGGTAGGACTTCCCGCTGCTTTGTTTACCCATGGAGGATATAACTTTGACAGGCCCGTTCCAGCTCTGGATGACTGCGTCATAAAGTCCAAAGCGGACGATCTCCGCAAGTGAGATGGAGTCCGCGTAGTTGACATCGGCTGCCATTCTCATGCCGTTGATCAGAGGCCGCAAGCTGTTGTTCTCTGCTCTAGCAATCTGGACGGGAACCAGGCACGAAAGCCGTCGCAAGAAATCTCCCAGACAGCGCCGGCTCGTCCGGACCTCAAGCTTGCGATCAAAGTGCTCAGCCTCGAACGAGATGTCCACGTTGAGAACCTCCTTTCCTTTCTCTCGACGAAGCTTGTCCAGCACCATCTTAGCATGCTTCACGACTTCGGCGTCGTTACCGTCGTGGGATCCATTGAGCACTCTGACGACCATCCGGAATGTAATGCACCTCGGGGACGCTCTGAGCAGAGGAGGGCTCACTGCGTACTTGTCGAAGATGTGGTAGAGGTAATCCACCTCGTAGCAGACGCTCGTCGACATGGGTGTTTCTTCCGCGGAGTCACACTTGTCGCGCAGGCGAATCTGGCAAGTCTGGGACGCCAAAGTTACGTCCAGCACGACCGAATGGAGGACGTTCTTCTCGTCGTCAAGTACCAGGAGGTGCGTTTGGCTTCCGAACAAGACGACCTGTGCTTCGAGCTGATGCACGCTACTGACACAGATATCCGAAAGCGTCACTGTCTTGATGAGCTCGCAAGTGTCGTCAAGCCTGTAGACATGACCTGAAAGCGTCTGAAAGTTCTCGGCATCTGGAATCTCGTCACCTTTGCAAATAGCCAGCAGGCAGAGACCATCCGGCGTGACGCAGGCCTTGAGAAAAGAATCTAGCAACTGGATCGTCCGAGGCTTCATCATCGCTGGTTGAGCGACCTCAAACACCCTCACGCAGCCTGTTGCATCGAACAGCAGAAGTTCCGCTCTGGATGGAACAAAGTGGAGCCCAGTGATAGTGGTACTGCCGTGATACTTGTCGAGCTCTATGTCCACGCCAGTCCAGAAGAGCTCACGGAAGCCATCGGTAAAGCGGAAAATCTTGATCGCTGCAAGGGACTGCTCGTAGAAGGCAATGAAGTTGGACGCCTCATCGAAAGCAGCCAAGTCGAAGCCCCTCTTGAGCACCTTCATAGGCTCCCTCTCAGGAATGCGAATCCTGCTACCAAGACTTTGGCAGAGATAGATTGCCATGCACGACTCCACCACGCCCTTAACGAAAAGTAGAACCTGGCCAGACTTGAGAAGAATCACGTTGCTCAGAGTATACTCTTGGGAGTCGATATCAGCAATGGTCTGGAGCCCGGAACTACTTGGAACGATGATATGCTCGCTCTTGGCCGCTTGCAACTCCAGCTCTTTCTTCTGGGGTAGAAACTCCACCACCTTCCAGATAATCCGCTCACTGTGCGTCTGCTGCCTCAGGAAGCTAATAGAGATCTTTGGCACATCACCCTTCAGAAGGCTGAAAACTCGCCACGAAGAGCCACCACTTGTTGGTCTGCAGCTTTTGATCTTGATCTTTGGAAGCGCCTCTCCATCGCTCTGCGAAAGCTTCATCTTGTAAGCCGAGGCCACGTCCGACTTCTTCTGCTTCAGAGACTCCACCCGTGCCTTATGCTGCGCTTCCAGTTCCAGTTTCACCTTGGACTTGAGGATATGGAAGAGACTGTCCTCCACCAAGTCCAGAAATATCCCCATGAACTGCTGCCGTCTCATTACGTAGGCTCCCATGCAGAGAGACCGGACTGAATCCGACAGACTGGGATCCTCCACTTCGCGGCCTTGCAGTTCCTTAAGCTTCTTGGCGAAGTCTACGTTACCGACTTCGTCTAGGCAGTCCGCAAGAATGCACTGCAAAAGGTAATCTTCGGTTGCATCCACCTGGTCCTTCAGAGAAGCTGCAAGCTGGATTTTCTTCTTGAGCATGAGTCCCACTTCTTCCGCACAGAAACCAAGCCACTGCCTGAAATGATCTCCTGATGGATGGTCCACGGAGCGGAACCTGGTGTTCCTCGCTACCAGTTTTTTTCCGGCAAAGAGATCAAAGTTGTCGGATGAAACCACCTCAGGACCACCATTTCTTGTTAAGAGACGCGCCTCAACCCGAGAGTGACCCCTGATTGCGGTGAAAGTCTCCCCATAAGTCATAGGCCCGGATAACCGCTTCCCCTCTCGAGCAATGACGAAGAATCCGGAAAATCCTTGCACTGAGACTTTCGATCCAATGAATACTTTCTCCTTCTTGTCCGCTGCCAAAACTTCCAGCAGCTTCGCCTCCATCTCCGAAAGCGCCTTCTCGTCAGCTTCTATGGACTGCTCGTTCCAGCCCTCGTGATACTTGATGAAGTCAACCGAGCCTGTGCAGGCCCGCTGCTCGCCACCTCCCAGAAGAAGTTTTTCTTCCCATGGACAGGCAAGCCTCAAGTAAGCATTCAGACCTCTTGCAAACACCGAGAGAACCTCCTCCTTTTCCTTGTTGAAGAGCTCTTCAGTGCTGGAAAACTCGCTACCCGCGGCGCTGATCTTGTCATCCAGAGTTGCCAATGCCTCACGCAGCTCCTGACCACTATCCGGCATGGCGCTCTGGCAGAAAAGGATAAAGTCCTCGTCCTTCATCTCCGTGTAGTCGATCTGGACGTCCCCCCAGCTCTTCACGACTTCACCGAGCTTCTCCGGTGGCACGGTCGCGTGATCGTGCGAGAAAGACTCCTTGGGGGTGTACTTCTCGGTCTCAAGCAGCCCAGTGCGATAGAAGCCTTCGCTAAGCTTGCGAGGAGAGAGCCTCGACGCTCCACCTCCGGCAGGCAACCGAAAGCCTCTCCTGACGTTGAAATCGTTGTCGCTCGACTTCACCATGGAAACTTGGAGCCGCTGAGTCCGCTTTCTCTTGCTGCTCGACGTGCCAATCGAGGCCATGGACGCGCCACCATTCTCCAGCTCAATGCAGCTATACACCACATCGCACAGCTCCACCAAGTAGCGTATGAAGTTGCAAGAGATGTCGCTCCTCCTCGCATCCGTGAACTTCTTGCTCGGCTGCCAGTAGAAGATCAAGAGCTTGCGGCCGTGCAAGGCACCGTAGAGACCCGCCGGAAGCTGGTCGGACCTCAGCTTGGCGATATCCTCCTCCACGAAAGCCTTCTCTCTCGCAAAGATGTCCACCATCAACCCCTTGCTCCCGTAAAAACCCACCGTCTCCAGCGACACAGCCTCCAAAAGTCCCGTGTCGAGAAACCATCGCTGATCCTCCACCCGGACGGATCCAGGAGCAAGCTTGTTGAAGAGCTCAAAGATCTGGGACTCGGACAGTAGCACCTTCTCCACAAAGCTTAGCTCTTGCTTGTCCGACTTCACTTCGATGAGGCTGAAGAGAGCGCAAGCTTCCCTCGAGGGGGCCGCGGCGCTAGCAGCAATGGGAGAAACCACGACCAGATCAAGCTCCATGTCCTCTCTTGCCGGTTGTTCGTCACGCTCCACTTCTTCCACGAACTCGAAACCATCGTCATCCCATCCTCCACCCATGGCTCACCTTTCGAAGAAAGCGATGAGGCTCGCAAGGAAAAACGAGAGATTGACTCACCTGGAGCGCAAAGCTCGCGGCTTTGTTGGATGGCAAAGACTGGAAAGACGGGAAAACGAGCAATCTCTTCACGAGTTCTGCTACGACCACGATCAAGAACGCGAGACAAGAAGAAACTCACCGACGCCGCGGTCGATAATGAAGAAGCTCGTCGCCGCCTAAGAACTCGACTCCTCTCGAATCGATGAAAAGACCTTACTACCGCCGCCTTGTTGAAAGACCTACATGCAGATTTATAAAGGCTGGCTAGCGTAAAAAAAGTTAAAACGCTAGGTAAGTAATTTACCTCTTATTGTCGCCCTCGATCGAAAACATTCCGCAAAAGAAAGAGCTCGATCGGCACGCGATCGCTGCAAAAGAACGCGAAAAATCTCTCGCTTTCCCCCACATTGTCCGATCGTGGATCATCGCTGAGAAATCCCCACTGTGAGTCGAGACAATTTCTCACCCACATTCCAGGAAGACCGATCCAGGCGATCGATGGAGGCGTGGAAGATCGATCGATCGCTGTAAATGAGCACGCCGCGAGCTCCTCCATCGATCGCCTCGCAAAAGATCTCTCTACCGTTAAGAGTTTAGGGTTCATTAGAAAACTAAAGGTTGGAATTGCCATTCTCTTTTTCCCCTGCGAAGGGGACGGCTATGGCGCTGTGCATCCCAGCCGCAGCGTCATCGTCGCAATCCAGCTATGGCGTGGCGTCCTCCCAGCATCAGCAGCAGCAGCAGCGCCTGGTAATCTTCTCTCAGAGGCAACGCGTCGATCTCCGCCATGCGCGATCCAAAACCCCCAAGCTCGTCTTCGCCGCGGCGGCATCGTCAGGTCTGTTCGCCGCCAGGATGGCTGGGCCGCGGTCGAGATTCGTGCCCCGCCAGGCATCCGCGTCCATGGAGCTAGACGATGGAAGCAGCGGCGGCGGCGGCAATGGTTCCACAGGGGGCTATGGCGGCGGCTCTGGCGGCGGAGACGATGGTTCCAGCAGCGATAAGAACAGGACAGAGGCATTGCTCGCGCTGGCCAGCCTTGGGAGATCGCTCGACAACATCCCGCGAGACCTGGCTTACGCGATCCAGGATGGAAGGGTGACAGCGGCCATTGTGGAGAGATTTGTGCTGCTGGAGAAGACCCCGCTGCGAGGATGGCTGCTCCAGTTCAGTGGGTTCACGGAGAGACTCCTGGCCGACGATTTGTTCCTCACCAAGGTGTTCATCGAATGCGGTGTGGGGATTTTCACCAAGGTATGCGTGGGCAAGTGAGCTCTTCTCCTCGTCTTTTCTACTTGCATTCTCGTGAGTGATTCGCAAATGTACTTAGACTGCGGCAGAACTGGAGCGACGCAAGGAGAACTTCTCCAAGGAGTTGGATTTCGTGTTTGCAGACATTGTAAGTTCTCTAAGATACTTTTTTGTGCTTCGTTACCTTCTCTCTTGAACCGGTGTTTCTTTGTGACAGGTGATGGCACTGATTGCCGACTTTATGCTTGTTTGGCTTCCTGCTCCGACAGTGTCCTTGCGCGCAGCGCCTGCAATGGAGGCTGGCAAGCTCGCAAAGTTTTTCTATGGATGTCCAGACAATGCTTTTCAGGTATAGTATTGCGCAAAGCATTGCCAAAACGCAACTCTTGTGGTTCTTTCCAGGTTGCCATCAGAGGGACTTCTTACTCTCTACTGCAGCGGATGGGAGCTATTGGGGTAAGTAAAACCTGTGTTTCTGCAACCGCTCACGTCCACGGCTTTCAGAGAAATGGAGCAAAGCTTTTAGGTGTTGGAGTTACTGCATCTCTGGTAAGCCGCCATTTTTGTCACTATTTTTCTTCCTGCGACCTTTTCTTTTTTCTTTCAGGTTGGCACAGCGGTAACGAATGGTCTCATCAGTGTGAGAAAGTCACTGGACAAGAACTTCGCTGGTGAGGCTGAAGATGTGCCGATTTTCTCTACAAGTCTGGCATATGGCGTTTACATGGCAGTGTCGAGTAACTTGCGGTATGAGAAACTGGTGTTCGGCTTTTCATGCTAACGATTGTGTGCAGGTACCAAATTTTGGCTGGGGTGGTGGAGCAACGGATTTTGGAGCCAATGCTTCACAACAAAAAGCTTGCCCTGAGTGTACTCTGCTTTGCGGTCCGAACAGGCAACACGTTTCTGGGCTCCCTTATGTGAGTATAAAGAAGCAAAAATGGTTTCTCTTCTTCCTCTTATGCTGCTGCTTGTAAACAGGTGGGTAGATTATGCTCGATGGGTTGGTGTTCAGAAAATACGTGAATGATCTTGTTGAACAAGACGTGGTCTGAAGAAGCAAATAGAAATTGAAATTGCACAATCAATGCTCTAGGATATTCTTAAAATTATTAATATATTATTAAGATATGTGAAATGAAATACAATGTTGTAAACTATTATTAGTATAATGGGATTTTGATAACCATTATCAAATTAATTTCAATCTGGATCATTTGGTCTTGAAGGTTATTGGGATAATTGATATGTATATTTTTGTATTCCATTTTTATATTCTATACACTCATATTGGTGGAGATGAAGGGTAGTTTTGATTGTCCTGATGAGTGTTTAGATTTGGGATTTTGGTTTAAATTTAATTTTTGCATTGTTTAGATCTCTATTTCTTTATAGTTATTTTTATTTCATTTCTTTTGTTTTTTCATTTTTTTGTTCATCTTCATGGCAAAGTAATAACCTCTTCCTCCTTTAACTCTAAAGTAGTAGTTAATGCAATTGCTTGATGCTATATGATTCCAATTAAATAATCAGACTTAATTAATAGTAGTATACACAATGTGTGGTATAGCTTGTTGCCAATCTTGGCGTCTGGCTGAAGTTCTTCTATGAGAGTCCTGGGGATGATGTGTATTATTGATTTAATTATTTGGTTTTGGTCTTAGTCTTGATCTTGGACTCGGTCTTGGTTCCCATATTGAACTTGATCTTAGACTCTATTTTGGATTCGATCTTTGACTCCTTCTCTGACTCTTTCTCAAACTCCATTTCGGACTCCATCTTAGGTCCATCTCGGACTCCATCTCAGGTTCATCTCGAACTCCATCTCAGGTCTATCTGAGACTCCTTCTCAAACTCCATCCCAAGTCCATCTCAAACTTCATCTCGAACTTCATCTTGGACTTGTTCTCCGACTCCATCTCAAGTCCATCTCGGGTCTATCCCAAATTCCATTTCAGATCCAACTCAAACTCTATCTCGAACTTGGTCCCAACACTTCCACATATTATATGTTGGTCCTCTTATGTCCCTTTTCTAAAGGCTCACTTATTGATTGCTTTATCCTCTTTCCTCGAGCACTTCTTTAAGAGTTCCATTCCCGCTCTCGACTTTTCAAGTTAAAACTTTTAATTCAAACTTATTATGCTTATTTGGCTTCTACTTCAGCCATTACCATGTGGCACCCTCTCAGCTCCACTTTGGGGCTTAGAGATTTGTGTTTCACAGTAAAATCTTGCTTTTGGTACTAGCAAGTGCTAATGGCTAAGGAAGATATTCCCAAGACTGTTTTTTGTACACCATTTGGTTTGTATAAGTTCTTAATGATGTCGTTTGGTTTAAACAATGCTCCAATAACTTTCTAGTGGATGATGGATAAGGTTCTTTTGCAATATGCCAAAAATGACTATTGATTTTATTAATGATGTTTCAATCCACTTGGAGGGGATATAAGAAGAACACGTCTGTGATGTTCGTAAGGTATTTAATCAACTGCAAGAAGTTGGTTTAAAGCTGAAGTAATCAAAGTGCATGTTTGGTCCAAAGACACCACTTATCTTGGGTACCATATTTTTTGTGAAGATTTGTAAGTTAATCATGACAAATTTGTGGCTACTCTTAAGTTTTTTACTCCAAAGTGTGTGAATGATGTGTAGCACTTCTTAGGCAAGGTGCAATATCTCGAGCATTTACTTGATTGTCTTTCTGATCGTATTGCACCATTGTAAGTATTGTTAAAGTTGTCAACATCATCTTTCATTTAGTTTGTGGATTGTGAGGGGGCATTTACAAATCTAAAAAAGCTATTGACAACTCCTTTAATTTTGGCATATTCTAATTACACTTGATTTTTCATTTTGCTCATGGATGCTTCTTATATCAATCTTAGAGATGTGTTGATGCAAGAGAGCTCAAATGTGCCTAGTCAACACCATCCCATTGCATACATTAATTGTACATTACAACCGGTAGAGGTGAACTACTCCACAATAAAAGAGTGTTTAACAATAATCTAGGGTTTCAAAAAACTTCATGCTTATCTACATAATTCTCGGACATTACTAAAAAGTGATCATGCTATAGTTATTTTGTTATTGAAGTGAAAGAACCTTCTTGGTCATACTACTCAGTGGGCTTTGAAGCTTCAAATATATGATTTTGATATTATTCATTATTTGGGGAATGGCTAATGTTGATATCCTTTCTATAGTTCCTCTTACTTTTTCGCTTTTTTCTCATGCTTTTAGCAAGCCTATTGTTTCAGTATATATAAATTTTTTGAATGAGGATTTTGTGCCATTGGTAGTTGTTGTACTTGATGTTTAATGTACACAAAGTGTGGAGTAAGATTTACTTTCTTTTGATAAGGTTTATTAGGCTTAAAAGGTTGAGCCATGAATCTAACGGCTTTGCAATGGGTTTCAAAATCTTATATCATTTGCTGATGATTTCAGCATTTACATTCTTAATATTACCCTTAAAACAACCTTCTTAATTTTATAAGGATGGATCCTAATAATCATTTATGATTGGTAGTGCTTTTGATTTTTATTCCACGTTTTCTCCATACCTACCATGATTCTCTTATTTTATGTGGGCATATGGAACATCGTCATGTGGCTGAAAAACTATATAAATTTTTTTATTGGCCAAAAATGTGATGTGATATTATTTGGTATATGTGTAGTTGCATTAATAGCCTCTCTTATACAAATTAATAAATTTAAGATTAGATTGCAAGACATTAAAAGAATTAGAACAGAAAAGAAGTAAAAGTAAGGTTTGTTTTTCTTATTATTATTATACTTAATACTATACTAAATATGGTTAAACATGGCAATAAAATGAGATTTAGTTCTGAGATAAAAAATAATTTACCGCCAGATCACTATCTATAGTAAATTGGGTCAAATAGTATAAGCATCATTACATCTAGATCACCGTAGAAAGGTTTAGTATTTTAACTAAAGAGTTAGTAGGGTTTATATAAAAATAAGAATATAATACCAAAGCAGCCAAGTGATGCTACTAATCCCATTAAATGCTAATATGATAAATAATAATTAAAATATTGTATATGCTGTTGAATTATCAAAATAGCTTATAAAAACATTATAGTGAACATAGAATATGCTTTTCAGTATTTGAAGCCCACATTATATAGTTTGGAAATTTTGTTGTATAAATTACTATATTACAATCATTCTGAACAACAAGAAATACAGGAAAAATGCAATTTTTACAATACCTATTTGTAGACCATTGAGGTTCTTTGTTATAATATATGACAAAGTTACCATCATTTTGAAGTTTTAACTTACAATTAAAAATATTTTCTGTTTTAGTTTTAGATTCCCATACCTTATTTTTTAATGAGAACAAAACAAGCTTACAATTTGATTGAAATAATAATACATTTTTACCATTTGAAGAAATTAAAAACATTTCAGTATGTAAAATTGCAGGATTATATAAAATAGAAGCTTCAATATCACATTTTAAATTATATGATTTAAAAGTAGTACTTACAATTGATTTTGGAAACTCAAACTCCCAATCATTTGTAATTTTATATGTTATTAAATAATGGTTGCTTTCTCTAAGAAAATTGTCTGTACAATATTCTGATAATTCAGAAAAAATTTTATTATATATATTTCTGAAACCTCTTCTTAAAGCTATTCCTGTAATTCCATCTGGACTTTCAATATAACATTGATCTTTAGTTTTAATCATTAAATGTACAAGTCCTTTAGAAGTAGGTATTAAATCTCCATCTGCATAATTAGATGGATATGGATCTTGAGAACCATCAGTCAAAATTTTCACTAATAAAGATTCTAAACTACTTATTATTAATCTAACATCAGCTGAATTTAATATTCCAATTTTTCCAATTCTAGATTTATAGCTATTTACTGTTATTAAGAAAATGAAAATTAGAAATAATAAAATATTCT